TGGGAATCGTTTGAATGCTATTATGGCTTAAGTTGAGCACAAGAAGACCTCTGCTTCGGTCCAACTCGTTGGGCACATCCCGTAACTGATTGTAACTCAGATCGAGAACCAAGAGTTCGTCCAATTGAAAGATCTCGGAAGGAATGCCACAGTTTTTGATATTGTTGTGACGGCAGCTCAGGTACCGAAGCGACGGCAACGAAGCCAACTCTCCGTGAAGTGTCACCAAATTGTTGCGGACGAGGGATAGGGTCTCCAGTTTGGACACTGCGGCCAACTCTTCGGGAATCCAATCCATACGCGTTCGGTTCAGTTTAAGCCATCGCACGTTTCGCATGTCTCGCAACTCTTTGGGAAAGTTCTCGTCCTATGGGATCAGATACATGGGTTATCACATGTCATGACCGAGTGGTGGATCAAGTGATGGTCACATACCTGGAACTCGTTGCGGCTCAAGTCGACGCCCCTCACGAACGGCAATACACCGGTCGACGCCATCGTCGCCCCCGATATCACCGCCGCTTAACCACCGCTTGTCTCTCGCGAGTGATCTTCAGTATCGCATACAATACTAATTAACGCTTTTATTAATGATTATATCGAAAACAATATCATTAGAAATGTGTGTAAAAATGGTTTCAATCATAAATTTGTAGCAAAAATGTTATCAAAAAATGTTTTTCATTCAAAACATAACTCATGTTATGATTGAGCGAAACACTAGACGACACACTCTATCCGTGCACTCCGTCTACCCGTCCGTCAAATACGAGCCCATATTTCATATCTATTTGCACTTCACTTACATTCCTATCAAACAAAGTGAATGTCATTTTGTAATACTTTTGTGGCATTTATTTTTATAATGAATTAAAAGTTAATTCTTTGTGCAAATAATTTGTTTTAATACAATTGGAGTCTATTTTGTAATAAGTGGGCAGAGATTGAAGCAAACGTTATTCACTTGTATTGGCACTAGAGTTGTCTCAATTCGGTTATAGGGCCCACACTTTCGGGTTATCAAAAAACCCGACCCAAGCTTATAGGAATTTTTAACTATATCGTTTAAGTTGGTGTAAGTTAGCTTGTTCAATTAACATAACTCCTATTACATAACTATACCCAATGACTGACCCATTGCCTATTGTTGCAAATGTATCATGTGCAAATGTGCTTATCAATGTATGGTTAGCTTAATAGGCGCTAATTAAAGTCGTTTAACTGCATATACAGTGCTTTTTGCCAAAATAAACGTCAATTCAGCGCTAATTTGAAAGGATTTGCAGTTCAGTAACACATAAGCCGTAACACAGATTCGCTGAACAAAACTTTTTTGAACAAACTTTTCATTTAAAGCCAGTGCTGTTGTGAACGCATAATTCATTGACAAAACTGACATAAGTATTTCTCCTTTGTTTTAAACGGCAAAAAAAGTTCACTAAAACCTCTATATTTTGTAGTAAACAAATTGAGGCACAAATACTACACAACAAAAGTTTTGTTGCAAAACTAATGTTCAATTGACTTATGCATAGATACAGTAGAATACAGGTATAGGCAATGGTATAGGGATTACGAGATCACAGGATTAGAGTATATCATGTCATGTAATGTAATGAATGGCAAAACACGTACTGAAGATATATACGAAAGATATGATTATTTGGCGAAAAGAGGGACAGAATATGTGATGTCGTAATCGACAACATCTGTGCAAAAGTT